TAGTCCATCAATATTATGGTGGGTCGGCATTGATTGTCCATCAATGTTATAGAGGGTCACCATTGATAGTCCACCAGTATTATGGTGGGTCACCATTGATTGTCCATCAATATTATGGAGAGTCGCCATTGACATTCCACCAGTATTATGGTGGGTCACCATTGATAGTCCATCAATATTATGGTGGGTCACCATTGATTGTCCATCAATATTATGGTGGGTCACCATTGATAGTCCATCAATATTATAGAGGGTCACCATTGATTGTCCATCAATATTATGGTGGGACACCATTGATAGTCGATCAATATTATGATGGGTCACCATTGATTGTCCATCAATATTATGGTGGGTCACCATCGATTGTCCATCAATATTATGATGGGTCACCATTGACATTCCACCAGTATTATGGTGGGTCACCATTGATTGTCCATCAATATTATGGAGGGTCACCATTGACATTCTACCAGTATTATGGTGGGTCACCTTTGATTGTCCATCAATATTATGGAGGGTCACCATTGACATTCCACCAGTATTATGGTGGGTCACCATTGATTGTCCATCAATATTATGGAGGGTCACCATTGACATTCCACCAGTATTATGGTGGGTCAATATTGACTGTCCGTCAATATTATGGAGGGTCACCATTGATTGTCTATCAATGTTATAGAGGGTCACCATTGATAGTCCATCTATATTTTGGTGGGTCACTATTGATAGTCCATCAATATTATGGAGGGTCACCATTGATAGTCCACCAGTATTATGGTGGGTCACCATTGATTGTCCATCAATATTATGGAGGGTCACCATTGACATTCCACCAGTATTATGGTGGGTCACCATTGATTGTCCATCAATATTATGATGGGTCACCATTGACATTCCACCAGTATTATGGTGGGTCACCATTGATTGTCCATCAATATTATGGTGGGTCACCATTGACATTCCACCAGTATTATGGTAGGTCACCATTGATTGTCCATCAATATTATGGAGGGTCACCATTGACATTCCACCAGTATTATGGTGGGTCACCATTGATTGTCCATCAATATTATGATGGGTCACCATTGACATTCCACCAGTATTATGGTGGGTCACCATTGATAGTGCAACAATATTATGGTGGGTCATAATGTACCAATAGCGAGATAAGATGGGTTCTTGTTTGAATAATAATTAGTCTAATGTGATACATTGATAAATAGTGTGATATCATTGTCAGTAATATTCTTTAATGTCTTATAGTGGTGATAATATAATTATTTGTTCAAGGAAATCACAATCGTCAGCAAATTATATAAGAATCATGATGTAATTGGCAGATTATCGCGTGGTTGGCTCCTTTGATTTAAGTGAAACTGAAATGTTTGTGTGGCATAAATCATTCTATACTCTGTCAGTGCTGTTAGTGTCTGGAATGTGAAATTCTTGGACCAAGTTACTGCTAACGCGTGCAATTCAACTGAAATATATATTAAATACAGATTATCATTTATCATTTATTACATAGAGAGGTTCTGGTCCACGTGACTGCAACTAAATGCCACTTTCCACATAGAGTCCATAGCAGTGAGATACGAGTACCGAAAATGAAAACAAATTGTCGTGGCATTGACATATCTATGTGTCTATGTTCTCGTCACAACTGTCACGATCGTATCTGTGTTTTTGCAATGGTTTCTACAGTGACAATGGATATTCAGATCCTCATGTGTTAACTGTGATATGGCTGTCTATGTTGTATATTCCTATTAATCTTCTCGATAGCATATTGTATTCGTTCAGTTTGTAGTTTTATTCTGATTGGTCTAATGAACCGTTTCTAAATATATTAGTTTGTTCGTTTGTTAGTCATTCGTTGGTTATTTTGTTTTCATGTTTGATTTAACATATTTGTTTATTATATTATTTGTTGTGTTATATACTCTATAGTTATACATATATTTTAAGCATTATTATAATTCACAATATACAATGCCATTTCAAATTATGAGTAATATATGCAAGCTAATGTAAAAATAATTAAAAGGAATGTTTTAGATTATGTGACTGTATGTTGCTTATGTTTAATGTAGCGACTGTGGTTGGGTATTGGGTGGGTGTAGGTTGGAGTGAGTGAGTGAGTGAGTGAGTGAGTGAGTGAGTGAGTGAGTGATGAGTGAGTCATTCATTCATTCATTCATTAGTCTTGGGGTGTTTGCTCGAATTTCGTCTTTTTGTTTCACTATCAAACAAATAAAATATTTT